TGTGTTCTTTGACTTTCTCTGATAGCATCTCATTTGATCTGGCCTCTGTTCTTCAAGTTTTTATTTTTCCTCCAATCTGTTTTTAATAGATCAGGCTTCTAAGATCATGAATCTCCAGTTTTAGCACCTTGTATAGCAGTATCTCACGTGGCCACAATTTTAGACAAAAACCAAAGACCCAGAGGCCAGAGCAAAATAGGATCTTCTGCAAACTCACTCTTGGTGTATCCTTGGACCTTCACATCTTACTTTAGGATTAATTTATTGAATTTTACTGTTACACATCATTTTTGACTTGAATTAAAATACTAGGCAAGCAGAAATGTACAATTTCTGGTCTGTGTTTTCCAGGAAAATCATTGGGAAAAGAATAGAGCGGATTCTGTGACTTGAAGTTTTTGCAGCTTATTTTTTCCTCCCAGTATCAGGGCAGAGCCCCATTTTAACGAATGTTTTTACATTACATATTCTTGTGTTAAATAGTATGTTTTCCCCAATTCACAAAGCAGGTGATTTCCCATGACATTTCTTCTTTAGGTCCTAACAGTCATCCTTGAAAGAGAGGACTCTTTTAGTGTGCTGTGTGCGCTGTGGATTGGGAATAGAGAGTAGAGTTGTAACCAAGCCCTTTTTTGGCCCTTTACATTTATATCAGGTTATACTTTCCCCTCACTTGTTCTTATTCCAGCTCCCTAACTACTTGACTTGATGTACCAGAACAGAAATTTGGATATTAAGATACAAAAAGGGGAGGGAGAGGAATGGTAAATGCAGTTAACTCTCTTTCCTACTAGGTTGGGGCTTTTCCACCTAATAACTAACTAGAGAGAGACTGTTGCAACTCTTCTTTCACTGCTACATCCAAAAGAATGTGATTTCAGACAAAATTGTTATTATTTTTGAGACAGAGTCTCAAGCTGTCGCCCTGGGTAGAGTGCTGTGGTGTCACAGCTCACAGCAACCTCCAGCTCTTGGGCTTAAGTGATTCTCTTGCCTCAGCCTCCCAAGTATCTGGGATTACAGGCGCCCGCCACAACGCCTGGTTATTTTTTGGTTGTAGTTGTCATTGTTGCTTGGTGGGCCCGGGCTGGATTCAAACCCGCCAGCTCTAGTGTATGTGGCTGGTGCCTTAGCCGCTTGAGCTATAGGCGCCAAGCCTCAGGTAAAATATTAATCATAAGATTCTGTGATGTACAACTCCTATGACATTTGAAATTTCTCTTAAAGGGATTTTTTTTAAATGAAGTTTTGCATTTGTTGGCATAAATAGTATTTTATGCTTCACGGGACATTGTTCAAAGTAATATCTCTGTTAAAATGGTACAAGCGGGTCATAGGTTGGTTTATGCCTCTGACTTAGTTAAGTTTCCCTCCCTAACAATTAGAAAAAAATCAGAGCAGTGACCTAGCTATTGCATCAGCATGACTGTCCTGCAACTTACAAGTGCTGCTCTCTAGTAATTGTCTTTTCATTTTGATGGTAGGGGCCAGACTGAATGGACTCCATTATTCTCTATAATTGAGCAACTCATAAACTGTTTTTATTGATTGTGAATATGAACCATCTGATTTGCTAATCTAGTCGTTTGTTCATCATTACTTTTAGCAGATTAGCACCATAGGTAACAAAAATAAATTTGTTGCCTGCTTTTTATGCTGTCACAGCGTGTTTGAAAAAGCTGGGGATACAATTTTGTCTTTCTGTTTTAAACTTTTTTTTTAAAGGCAAAGAGCCCTTAATCCCTATTCTCCAATATGTGTACGATGTGACTTCCATGTATATATAAAAATGATTGTGTCCTAACCAAACTTCCTCAGATTGTGCACTGTTTAAAATAATCACGTATTTTAGTCCAATGCTGTTGTATTTTTTCATTTTATTTAAAACACTACTTATTCCTTTAACAAATTTTAAAAGGTAGTGATCTTAAAAAAAATCACTGGATAACTAGGAAATATTTTTGTTGTTGTTTTTTAAAGAGTACAAAGGTCATTGAAGCCTTTTGCTCCTCATACCGTGAAAATGAAATGTTAGCCATTGTATGGCTAGGAACCAATGCACTTGGCGGTTAACAGATATGCTGTTGCTGGAGTGTGAGCGTGGACTTGATGCAGTGACGACAAATCATTGCTTAGAATTAATGTTTTCAAATGTGCAACTCTAGTTTTTAAAACAAAATTTGGTTCTTTACACTCATTATTTAGTTTTTGTTTCCATTTAGTATTTAATGGTCTTTGGGAAAAAATAATAAAACAGAGTGTTATATATATATTTTTTGGTGCAAGATAAGATTTTGTTTTTTGAAATAAGTCTGTAGCATAAAGGTTAAACTATTTTAAGACAAAATAAAATAGAGTGTATTTAAACAATGACATTTTCTGAGGACTTTTTTTCCCCCTCCTTCTCCTTCAGTTAATTAGGTGGTGCCTGGAACCATTCTCTGTTTACCTTTTGGATGTGAAAGTGGATTATATTTGCTAACAAATCTTGTTATAAGATGCCAAATTTTTCCAAGCAGTAGCTGTATCCTGTTCCCAGATGTTTTACAAGTAATCTGTGGTGTGTTGGATCTTGACTGAAGATAATTGAATGAGTTTTCCTGTTGTCCTACCTCATTTTCCAGCTGGGAGCAGTGAGAGTTCACGAAGGGTCAAAGGCTTCTAGTTCTAGGCATTATTCTCCTAGGAACAAAACTCGGCTTCTGGTCACATCCCAGAACCCAATGCATGAGAGTAAGATGCTGGGACTGCATGCACTTTATACTTGGCTGGACATTGAAGCAAGTATAGGATGTTTGAAAAATGTCCTTAAGAACCTTTCCCTTGG